TGGGGGCCTCTTGGGCCGTCATGGGGCCATCTTGGAGGCCTCTTGGGTGCTGTTGGGGCGATGTTGGGGACCTCATGGGCCGTCTGGGGCCGTCGGAGAGCTGAAAAGAAGAACATGCCAAAATCCTTCAAAAACCTATAAAAATCAATGATTTTAACCTATTCGGGCCTTCCTGGAGGGCGTCTTGGAGGGCTCTTGGGCCGTCTTGGAGGCCTTTTGCCGGCCTTTTGGGCCGTCTTAGACCATCTTGAGGCCATCTTGGACCGTCTTGGGTGCATCTTGGAGCCATCTTACCCGTCTTGGAGGCCATCGTGGCTGTCTTGGAGGCATCTTGGAGGCCATCTTGGGCCATCTTGGCCGTCTTGGAGGCCATCTTGGGCGTCTTGGAGGCCTCTTGGGCCGTCTTGAGGCCCTCTTGGGGCCTTCTTGGGGGCCTCTTGGGCCGTCATGGGGCCATCTTGGAGGCCTCTTGGGTGCTGTTGGGGCGATGTTGGGGACCTCTTGGGCCGTCTTGGGCCGTCGGAGAGCTGAAAAGAAGAACATGCCAAAATCCTTGAAAAACCTAAGGAAAATCAATGATTTTAACCTATTCGGGCCTTCCTGGAGGGCGTCTTGGAGGGCTCTTGGGCCGTCTTGGAGGCCTTTTGCGGGCCTTTTGGGCCGTCTGAGACCATCTTGAGGCCATCTTGGGCCGTCTTGGGTGCATCTTGGAGCCATCTTACCCGTCTTGGAGGCCATCTTGGCCGTCTTGGAAGCATCTTGGAGGCCATCTTGGGCCATCTTGGCCGTCTTGGAGGCCATCTTGGGCCAAGTTGGGGCAACAAAGGCATTGACAGATGGATTTTCGGAAACTTGCGGGTGGCCGGCGGGACGGGCCGAAGCCCACTGGGGAGTTCTTTTAGAAAAAGAACCAAAACCAAAACCTGAAACATCCAGCACGCCGTGCACCCCTGTGGCAAGACCACAGGGGGCGGCGGATCGAAGACGCCTACGGCGAATCACCGCCGCCCCCTGCCTTTTTGGAAGCGCCTATGTGGCCGAACGTTGAGGCCAGACCTGCCAAGCTATCGGACCACGTGTTCCCCGAATCGGTTTGGAAAGCCTTCGGGGAACACGTGGGCATCTTGAAGGTCATCTTGGCCGTCTTGGAGGCCTCTTGGGCAAGCTTTGGGCGATCTTTGGGGCTTTTTGGGCCGTCTCGGGCCAGCTTCGAGCCAACTTCGGCCATCTTGGTGGGTTCCTGGCACGTCTGAAGCCGTCGGAAGCCGTTTGGGGGGCCTCTATGGGCCGACTTGGGGCCCGCTTGGAATGCTCCAGGGCCGTCTTGGAGGCCATCTTGGGCGTCTGGGAGGCCATCTTGGGCGTGTTGGAGGCCTCTTGGGCCCTCTTGGGGCCCTCTAGGGGCCATCTTGGAGGCCACTTGGGCCATCATGGGGCTCTCTTGGGGGCCTCTTGGGCGATCTTGGGGGCTTCTTGGGCCGTCTTGAGCCGTCGGAGAGCCGAAAAGGCGCAAATGCCAAAATCCTTCAAAAACCAATGGAAAATCAATGATTTTGGCCTCTTCGGACTCTCCTGGAGGACCTCTTGGAGGCCTCTTGGGCCGTCTGGGAGGCCTCTGGGGGGCCTCTTGGGCCGTCTTGGGCCGTCTTGGACTCTCTTGGGCCGTTTTGGAGGCCGTCTTGGACCATCTCGGGCGGACTTGGAGGCCATCTTGGGCCATCTTCGCGATTTTTTGAGGATGTCCCGAGCGAAACGGCCGTTTTTGGGCATTGAGAGATGGGTTTTCCGAAATTTGCGGGTGGCCGGCGGGACGGGCCGAAGCCCACTGGGGAGTTCTTTTAGAAAAAGAACCAAAACCAAAACCTGAATCATCCAGCACGCCGTGCACCCCTGCAAGCAGGGGGCGGCGGATCTAGTGGCCTTCGGCCCATCCCGCCACCGTGCCTGGGTTGTAGCTCAGAGTTCTCAGGGATGCTTCTTCGGAGCGCTGTCGGGGACCTCTTGGGAGCAGTTTGGGGGCCTCTTGGGAGCCACTAGGGGTCCTCTTGAGAGCCCTTTGGGGGCATCTTGGGGCCTCTTGGGAGCCTCTTGGGGTCCTCTTGGGGCCTCCTGGGGGGGCCCTCGGGGCCGAGGGCTCGAAAAGTTCGCTCGGGTTCCCTATCTGGGCCTCTTCTTTGGGCCGTCTTTGGGCCCTCTTGGGCCGTCTTGGCCGCCTCTTAGGCCGTCTTTGGGCTCTCTTGGGGGCCTCTGGGGCCGTCTTGGGGCGATCTTGGGGGCTTCGGGCTGTTTTGGAGCGTCGTAAAGTCGAAAAGGTGAGAAGGCCAAAACCCTTTCAAACACCAAAGGAAAATCAAGGATTTGTGCCTCTTGGGGCCTGTTTGGGACGCCTCTTGGAACACTCTACGGACGACTTCGGTGCCTCCTGGGCTATGTTGGGGCCGTCTTGGGCGTATTGGGGCACTCTTGGGCCTTCTCGGAGGCATCTTCGGCCCTCTTGGGCGCTTTTTGGGCCCATGTTTGACCAGCTGCGCTACCGGAGGACGCGCGCGACACGCCCAGGGAATCCCGAGGAATCCCTGGAAATCTCGGGGAATCCTGTGAATCCCCAGAAATCCTGGGGAATCCCCGGAAATCCGTGTGAATTGGTGGCCCAGGCCCCTCAAACTTTTTAAACTCGACAGCTCTGAACTTCTCAGTGCTGCATGCGCCTTTCGGCACTCCGTCACGTGCTGCAGGCACAGGGCCCTCGTCAGAAAGCGAATCAGCACGAACGTCTAGTCCCGTGGACTGGCTCGAGACCTCTGGGGGTCGACGCTGTGACATATAGACGTCAACGTAAACAAATGTTCCGGAGCTCCGCTCACTATCGTTTGACAGATCCCCATCCCACCGGGCCGTGGTTTCTCAGACCCCCATCCCGCCCCCCCCTTTAGGGATACGCCCCTCGAAACACGAAGGGAGCCCCATCCAAGGGGGGAAATCTCGGCAAGCGGGGCCAAGGCAGGAGCCACGTGCGATTCGATCGATCCGATTCGACTCCGACCACATCGAATCTGCAACCCCACCGATCCGGCTCAGCTTTCCGATCGGACTTTTTCCGATTTTCCTCCTCCTCCCCCCCCTCCTCCTCCTCCTCCTCCTCCTCCTCCGCCTCCTCTGCCTCCTCCGCCTCCTCCGCCTCCTCCCCCTCCTCCCCCTGCTCTCCTCCTCCTCCTCCTCCTCTTCCTCCTCCTCTTCCTCCTCCTACTCCTCCGCCTCCTCCTTCCCCGGGACCAGATTCTCATTTTGTCTTTGGACGGTCCAGGGGCCGGAGAGGGCCCCTGGAGGCAGAACATAGCGCCCGAAAAACGTCCGTCGTGTTTTTTGGTTGGTTGTTGCTTCATCCTGAGTCGTTTTGTTGACGGCCCCGTGTGTGGAGTCACGGGCGAACTGTCACGGATGTGATTCACGATGGGTTTTGGCGCGATCACTGCACCTGAGAGCACAGCGTTGGGGTACACAGAACGAGTCCTCATGACTACGCATAGAGCACAGATCTTTAGATCTGCCCTGCCAAGACTGACATGTTCGTGAAGACTCGGCGCACGATTCAAAACGCATGTTGCTTAATTATGAGAGGGAGAGAAAGAGAAAAGAGAGAGAGAGAGAGCGAGAAAAGAGAGAGAGAGAGAGGAGAGAGAGAGAGAGAGAAACATAACAAGAGAAAGAGAGAGAGAGAGAAACAGAAAAAGAGACAGACAGACAGACAAACTAAAGGGATGGCCTTGGCAGGCCGGAGGACGTGCATCAGGAGGCAGCTGCCTACCATCACGTCATTTGCGAGACAGGAAGGGGGGCAACAGGAAAGAGAACTCCAACTCATCATTCAGCGACGCGAAGCTCGAGATTGCTTCCGCTCCTCCTCACCCTTCATGTGGGCATCGTCGGCCTCGATCTGGAGAGGCTCTGTCTCGAAGGCGTCCTCTTTCATTCTCGAGAGGTCATGATGGCTTTCAGACGGCTGTGGAGCGTCGGGTAGCTGACCCATTTCAAACACGCCTCTTGGAATAGCTTGCCCAGTAGAGCCTCCTGCTCAGAAAAAAGGGCAAGCCTAGCCGCACCGCCACGACCACGGGCGAACCCGAAGCTCGGGCCCTGCTCGACCTTGACGCGCTCCGGCTTGGTCGTCTCCCCGAGCGCCTCCTCAGGGTCGGACGGGACAACGCAGCCGTGGGGCGTAGGATCCTTCGGCGCGTCGATGGCAAGGGAGGCGGAGGTTGGCACACCATTGTACACGCAGCTGTCCTCGGCTGCCAGGGCCTGGGCAAAGCGTGTCTACAAATCACGTAGCATGCGTGATCTCGGCAGCGTCAAGGATGGCTGCGGCCGCAGTGACCTGCATGAGCTTAGGCCCCAAGATGATACATGCTGAGAGTCGGCTCTTCGCGGACGACCGTTTTCGAGTAGGAGCGCCCTCTTCGCTGGCATACACACGCGTCGTGAGAACAGTACGGCAGGGGTCGTGGTCATTGCGAGCCACGAAGTGCACCATCACGTCGCTGAACTTGGAGCGAGCTGAACATGAACAAAATCGCGTGGTAAATCGGAAACTTGAGCCACGAGCTACGGCAGACCCTGGTCGTCATTGGTGTGGTGTCCCAATCTCCCTCGAGTAGGATCACCCGTCGCGATTTTCCACGAACGTAACGGCTGACAGTTTGGCCCGCTCCGTGTCTTGCGTGCAGAGTGCACAGAGGAGAAAAAATATACCCTCACAGTGAGCCCTGACTGATCACCACTCCGACCCAGCATGCCTCCACGTTGCCGGCAGCGGACTGTCGGCTTTGACGGCTTTGACGTTCAGCCTTGGCCAGGTCCAGCATCAGACTTTCCCCGGAGATCTGGCAGTAGCCAGTCCTGATGACGCCACAGGGCCGTCACGGAGCAGAGTGGCGACGAGGCATAGTGCTGTGCAGCGAGATCGTGCAGGTGGGCCTGGGCCCGTGGTGCAGCTCGCCGAGACGCCGTAATTACAACGAGGAGCAGGTGGTCGTCAAGGCCAGCCCCGAGCAGCAGGTGGTGTACGACGTCCAGCGGAAGTGCAAGGCTGCTGCCAATGCCGTGCAGCTCGCGGAGAAAGTCGAGGACTATGCCGAGGTCGGCACGGAGGAGGAGCCCCAGTTCAAGACCACTGCCGTGGTGGTGGCGGAGTCGCTGGTGGCTGACAAGGAAGTGGAGGCGTTCGAGGACAAACAGGGGGTCGTGCAGGTGGGCGTGGACTTCGTGCTGCAGCCCGCCGCAGCGCCGTGCAACGTGGAGCAGGTCGTCAGGCGCGGCCCCGAGCAGGAGGATGAGCGCGTCGCCCAGCGGGAGGACAAGGTCCTCGGCCATGCCGAGCAGCTCGCGGAGGATATCGTGGTCTGCAGTGCCGAGGTCGTCACGGTGGAAGTGCCCCAGATTGAGACCACTGCCACGGTGGAGGCGGAGGCGCTGGAGGCCAACACGTTCTCGCTGAAGCCTGCGGCGAAGCAGGTTGGGGAGCGGACGATGCGCGGCATCAAGTGCGCCCCAAACTCCATGGCCACCGACTGGCTGGAGGCGAATGCCGCGGAGTCCGAGGACTGCATCAAAAGGGCGATCGGCGGCGGCGAGGTCCGCGACGTCTGCGACGAGCGCGGCTACGAGGGCGAGCGGCGCAGGCTGGTGGTCCCCTAGCGGCAGTTCGTCCAAACCGCTGGCCCCGACAAGGTGATCAAGTTGGAGGAGGGCATCCAGCGGCGCCAAGCCGCCATCAATGAGCTGTGCCGCGCGCGGCGCCCGCGCAAGCGCAGGTGATGCGCGTTGGACGGCCCGCTCACAGTTTGCTGAGGGACGAGGCATCCGCTCGAGACATCCTCGCAAGATGCCCGAGATGAAATGTTCACTGTGCCGAGCGGAAGTTGAAGATTCGACCTCCCAGCCCTAGAATTGAAACAGCAGCCCCATGTTGAAGTTCTGGATCAATATTGAAGTTCCGAGCCTCAATGTTGGACCAACACCTCAATACTGAACCTCGCTGTTTGGTCTAGTTCTATAGTTCAATCTGGAGTTCGGTAACTTCACTTCTGGTATGTTGCAATCTGGAGCTTGGGAGTTCAAATATTGAAGGTGGGGATTGACCTTTTTTAATACTGGGGTCGGAGCTTCAATATTGGGGGCCATTTGCCAGTTATGCCAACCAGTCTTCCTGGAAGTGTCCGACCCCCTTGCAGTTGTGACACCGCACTCGTGGTCGGTGGGGTTCCAGATTCTGCTTCGCAAAACCCGGCCAAGCTTCACCTTGTCATGCAGTTTCCTCTGCTCCTTCCAGTTGATGAGGGCGTCGACGAGGTCGCGCTCGTCGATGGGTCCTCGACCATATCGAACTGACCCTCTGCGACCTGTGTCATATCTCAAGCTCCTTGTGACGCCCTGCGCGTGCTCTGGCGTCTGCCCTCTGACCAGTTTGCTTTGGGCCAGGTCTGCCTATTGGGGTAGGGGCGCGTTGCCCGATCTTGAATTCCGCGGTCGGCGAGCAGTGCCTCACACTCACGATCATCCTCCTCGTAAGGCTGGTCATATGGTGGGACTCCTCGTTCAGCCACGTGCACCTGGTGATGGTTGGCTTTCGACAACTTGCCCAGGCCAGCACGTTACGTGGTACGCACTGCCCGAGCAACATCAGCTTCACGCCATGAGCCGTTGGCGGCCGCCATGACGACCGCCTCCTTTTCCAGCTCCAGCCGACACCCTTCGAGCATGTTGATGCCCCTCGCGATGTCGGGCAGGATGATGCCCTCGCGCTCCACGTCGGAGAAGACGGCCCGAACCCGAGCAGTGTAGGCGTTCGCCGCCTCATGCTTGTCCGTGCGTAGGTACAGGCAGGCCCACATGAGCTCGCGAACCAGGTCCGACGCGGGCATTTCGGAGTTGCGGTCATCGAGGATGGAGAAGATGATTTCCTCGCCCCCAGGCTACTCCATCTGGTCGTCTTCTATCCCCTGGATGACCTTGAAGGCGGTGCCCTTCAGGAGCATCACCAAAGCGGAACCGCGGGCGTCTTCAGGCACACTTTTGGACTTCTGCCAGGCCTTGTGCCCCTCGGGCTTCTCACCTGAGAAGCGTCTGACCAAACCGCCGTGATTTTCCGAGTCGGCCATGACAGCGACAGGGCAAGACTAGGAGTTCTGGTCGAAGATCGCGTCGAGCCACACGACGCAGATGAGACAAAAACCGAAGTGCGCCGCTGGGCGCAATGAGAGAGACACGCTCCGCGTTGGTAATGTGGAGCTACGGGCGAACAGTAACGGATGTGACTCACGATGGGTTTTGGCACAACTATTGCACCTGAGAGCACGACACTGCGGTACACAACGCGAGTCTTCGTGAATTCGCATGGAGCAACACAGACTGCATATCAGCACAATGGCCTGGCGATGGCAAGCCACCAGGCGAGAATCGCAAACATCCGCCCGTCGTGATTTTTGTCATGGTGCTGTCTCG